GGGGGGGGGTATTTTCAACTGGAATGAAATTTTTTCGGCCGTCTCCTTGTGCTGGATGTTTTTGCGGCGAAACTTTAAAGGTATTTTTCTTTGCTCTCCTCTTTGCAGGATTCTTTTCTTTTGGCTTTCTTTTGCGGGAATTTTTGTGTTCCCCTCCTTCATCACTTTTCTAAGTGTCCGCCCCAAAGATGTATTTGAATTTTGAATGCTGGCTTACTCTACACTTTCTTAATTAAGTATGTTTTGATGATCAAAGTATATGACTGTGTAAAACTCTTCACGACACGGGTCTTCGAGTCAAAGTTACAAATATACAAATAAGTACAAATATACAAATAAGTACAAATATACAAATAAGTATAAATGTCATTGAGAAATGTTTACAGTAATTACACAATAATTAGGTTATAGATAAAAAATATAGCAAATAATTACATTATTGATTAATGCCATTTAATACAAGTAATTAATTAAAATTGATTTAATTTACGAAAAAATTTAGTATAAATGAAAATGCTTAGAGTCGAATGACGAGATGCGAAGCGAATTCTTTCCGTTCGAAGCCTAACTGATTTTTACTGGATGTACATTAGACTTTCCCAAAGACCAAAGTCCTTTCCAGTTTTTTTTCGCGGTTCGTAAGTACGATCTCGCGGCTCACCGCTCGCTATTTGAGATCGACTTGTGGGCAAGTCTACATGTACATGTGTTAATTCATTTCGCGCGAGATTTTTCGCATTTTGCCATTTTTCGCACATTTGCATTTCGTGCAATTAGACCTAAGCCTGAAGTTAAGGTGGAAAGGTTAATTTTTCGTGCAACAGGGAAACCGGGGAGCCCGGAGGAAAACCCATGTGAGAATACATAAATTTTTAAAAACAGTAAAACTTAGCAACAATATCCTACCCTCGACCTGAGCAGCGATAAGGGCCGCGAGGCGCTAACGCCCTCTATCACGTGATAATTAAATCACGTAAAATAAAATAAGCACGCTATTAAAAAGCTCTACAAATAAAAGTACGAATGCTAGTTAAAATGCTACTTACAACTAAAAAGCATAAATTAAATTTGCGCTGACTGCGATAGCACGACTGGTTTGAGCTCAAAATTGAGTACTTGTTGCGTTAAAATAAAACTGAAAGACAGCCATTGCAGGCAGTGAACAATTGAATATGTTGTGCAATGTAGTTTTCTTTTAAGAGACCACTACTAAAATTACGCCGCGTGAATACATTAACATTAGAGAGGTTAAGATACCCCGGTTTCCGTGTACGTGTATGGGTAGCATGATTTTGGTTAGCAATATTTTCGTTGATGTCTGTACCTTTACTCGTAATTAAGGTGCACATTTTTCGCATTATATCATTGTCTATTGCAAGAAAACAGAACAAGAATGATCGATTTACAGACATCAGTAAAACAAGATGACACTACTCATACCCGTACGCCGAAACCGGGGTATCTTAACCTCTCTATTAAATACAGTACACGCTTCCGGAAATTACGTCATCTTGACCGTGGAGCCTCGGTTTTCGTGATTGAAACATTTAAGGCCCATTTACACGGGCGATTTTTGCTGCGATTTCAATTGCAATTTTCTCCTTTTGGAGGATGTGAAGGAGTGGATCAGTTATAAATGTTCGCCATTATGAAATCGCATAACAACATCATTAAGTAATCTACTCCTTCACATCCTCCAAAAGGAGAAAATCGCAACTAAAATCGCAGCAAAAATCGTCCGTGTAAACCTTAACGGGCCTTTAGACAGACAGATTTAGATCGAGGACGTCAAAGACGACGTGAAAATGGCGTGTTGTGCCCATGTACGGATATGCCACGCCATTTTGACAATCTGTCTTATTATGCTGATGTCACGAAAACGAGGTTCTATAGCCAAAGTGACGTATACTTTCCGGAAGAGTGTATTAACTTGCAACATTCAAAACATTGGCGGTACTTGGGGGTGAAACGCGAACACGGTCAAAAATAACTAGTTCCGGATTTCGACTGCGCATCCAAACAAATACATCGGGATAAAATCACAGTTGGTGAAGCATAACACAATTACCGAGACTGCAAGATAACAGTATTCAACTTATCACAACTCACTCCTACTTTATACAGACAAATTTTGTTCTCTGTGTGAAACAAAACAGAAAGTGCCCTTTAGTAAAATATTTGGATAATGTGAAGTAAGACAACGGGAGCATTTTTTTAATTTGCATAACCAACTTGTTGTAGTTGTGTTACAAATTGTTGTAGTTGTATTGTCTTCGTATTTGTACTGTATTCATCAGACTTATATCTGGTAAAGCACTCCTGCTTGTGTTTTAAATAGCATACTTAAAACATAACAAAACACGAATAGATAAATAACTGTGGAATACTGACTCAGAACTTTGGATGCGCAATCGAAATACAAACTGCATGCTTAAGCGGGCACACGCGCAACGATTTTAATTAAGCGCAGGTGCATGTTAAGCCCCGTTTACACTACGGTCGATTTTTGGTAGCGTACCACTTTTTTGGTTCTTGGACTTTCTAAATAGGTAGTCCAAGAACCAAAAAATTGGTACGGGTACCAATTTTATCCGTACCGTACCAAAAATTGAGCGTAGTGTAAACGGGGAGAGCGAGAAAAATGAGCCAACAAATTATGCCCACTACCCTTCGTTTTAACATGCTCCAAACCGTAAATTGGCCAACTAAATAAAAATCGCAGCGTATGGGCCCAGCTTAAGTAGACTTTTAGTTACATTTGTCAGCCAATAGTCAATGAAAGCATGGTCTAGAAACTCCCCAAACTTCAACTATAAAATATACAGTAGTATATATACACGAACTTGTGGTTAGAGCTCGACAACTGTCTCTCTGTAGCTCAGTTGGTTAGACCTCGACAACTGTCTCTCTGTAGCTCAGTTGGTTAGAGCTCGACAACTGTCTCTCTGTAGCTCAGTTAGTTAGAGCTCGACAACTGTCTCTCTGTAGCTCAGTTGATTAGAGCTCGACAACTGTCTCTCAGTAGCTCAGTTGGTTAGAACTCGACAACTGTCTTTCAGTAGCTCAGTTGGTTAGAACTCGACAACTGTCTCTCTGTAGCTCAGTTGATTAGAGCTCGACAACGGTCTCTCTGTAGCTCAGTTGATTAGAGCTCGACAACTGTCTCTCTG